ATTTTACTGTTTACTCTATTAAAGTCTGTATTATGTATGAAAATCACGATTAAGTTAAAATGCCCAAATGCTGGGGTACACCTTGGGTACAGTGGTCCTAAGGGGTCAAACACACTGTAAATTAAAGAAACACCAGGCAACAGAAAAATGCTGCAAAAGCAAAAAAACACAGTGAGAGTTGAATAAAACGCAATAGAGGTTTATGGAGACAAAACAGAACACAACAAAAGTTAAATAAATACAACAGAAGAAAAAAAAAAAAACGCACAAAAAGTTAAGTTTTTTTTGTGAACTTTTCTTTTTGTATTTATTTATTTTTGTGAGCTTTTGAGACATTTTTGTGTCTTATTCAACTTCCACTGTGTTTTGTTCTTCTACAGCTTTTTTCTATTTGCTGGTGTTTTCTTAAGCTGCAGTACATTTGATCTCTCGGGGCCACTGTAGATAATAGCTGAAGGACACAACCAAATGTTTTCAAAACCAGAGGGCTGACCGGGGCTGATAAACACAAGCTGAAGGAGACACGGGCGAAAGTAACAACCACAACCGAACAAACGGGAAATGACACCAAAACACGGCTCGAGAGAAAGCCAAAGTCAAAGCAGAACAGGAAACAGCCCACAAAACAAGGCGGTTCGCACTGAACATGTTAATATATCACTAACAGAAAGATCAGACAGAAGGAGGAACAAAAAAACGTGACAGAAACCAAAACTTAAATAAGACATAAAGCAAAACACACACCCAGGAAGATAGTAATGTCACGAGACCAGAGCCGTAAAATTTTAATCTTCTTACATTACCAAGAATCTGACTTAAACATTAACTAGACCTCTAAATGCAACAAGAACCAAAATCCAAATGAACAGAATGATGAAGAAAACAAAACAGAAACCAAAAAAATCCTGACAACTATCAAAAGCTAAGAGCACTAAAGCAGCAGTGAAACCAAAAAGAATCAACACAAATCCAAAAACATTCAAAGGACCATGATACTAAAATTGAAAAGCAGTTTCTAGTTTAACTGGATTCTTGCTGCTCGAATTTCCAACCGGTCAAACTATCATGAAAACAGAGCTGACAGTTGATGGATGACAAGTATAGTAGCAGATCTTTACTCATAAGTGTGAATGTGTTTGTGAGAGCAATCACAGCCTTGAAGACACCTCATGTAAAAGGGACTCCCACTTCCCCCCCTTTGAATAAAACTGCCTTTCACAAGATCCAGTCATAAATTTACAGGTGTGTACTCGCCAGATAAAGTAATAAAACAGTAATAACTAGCTGCTCTGCCCTTTCACTCTGGTAACACTCTATAACATCAGTGTTACCGGCCATATTTTTCTCCCACTATGTATTAGACGTGCCTCACAGTCATTCATGTTAAACAGACCCCAGGTTTAATTAAGACATAATGTGGCAACTTTTAATACTGACATGCATTCTTAACATTTCACAGAATTTAAACGTTGGTAAAACCGCGTGTAGAAATCCAGTTTTTCTTGTAAGCCTTGTGTCTTGTTCTCCTGCCAATGACGTTGATGTCAGTTAAAACAATAACTGCTTAGAGGCATAGGCAGCTATTGTTTTAACTGCCTATGCCTCCCGTGTGAATCACACGGGAACCACTTTTTTGATTGCACAACATAAATAAAAAAAAATAGTACTGCCGAAAACAAAAGGTCAAGAAAAACTTTGCCAAGAGGACCTCATGAGAGCGACCCCTGCTTCCTTTCCTTTTCTTTATGTGAAGATCACTTTTAAATCGCATCGTTACACAAGATCAAGCAAACAATGATGTAGAATTACCGAGTACTTTAAACATGTTAATCGCTTTGAGCAACCTAACGCAATACGTCACCAACCCCATTTAAGACCACGGATTTTGTAATCTGTGCTGAAACCCTTCAAACTCCAGTAACCCCCCGAAACCCACTTCGAAGATAAAGTTCGCAGGTTCGCACTTGCATACTTGCACTATTTTTTTTGCATACTTCCTGGCAAACTTACTCAATGACCTCTACAGCAGCTTTATTCACGTAGTCTATGTCGAAGACTTTCGCAAGAGGCATCCATCGCACTGCTGGATCTTCATCCAGACTGATGTTCACCGTGGGTGGAGCAAACTGTGCCCGGCACGACACTGCGAGTCCGAGCAGCAGCAGCAGCAGCGTTGTCCGCTCCATCTTTCTGTCGTCTGCACCGGAGACAGCCGACCCCTGCCTCTGGCTGGCAACGATAACGACATTTCCGCTTCAAGCTTTTCACAATAAAAGGAAGAAACTGCGAACTTACTCACGCAAACTGAGCAGCGCTTCCGCAAAACGAAGGCGTTGAACTTGATCACAATATCACAAATCACAAAAATCAAAATCACAATTTAAACTCCTACACAGCCATTTCATTCAGCAGTAAATGTCATCTATATATAGTCTCATAAGCAAAAACAGGAACAGAAACACTCCTTTTAGCTTTTTGTGTATTTCGAAACTGTGTTGTTGTTTTGGAGACCTGGAATTTAAATGTGCCTGTCACTAACACACTTCCCTTCAGCTTCTGTTGTTTAAATGTGATATAGGCTGTAAATAATAATAAAAAAAAACACTGCAGTCAAGACAAAAAGGTTTCAACATTTTTCATAGTAGATGTTTGAGGTATTTGACCCAGTTCAGTGGTACACATACTGAACGTAGAGGATACAAAGTATATCAGTCTACTAACACCAACACTGGTACTGATAATATCAATATCTGGATCGACTGTGGTTATACTCATCATACAAATGTTGTCAAATAACTCAAGGATATTATACCAACATCATATTATTATTATTATAAGTTGAAACGGTTTATTATGCCACAGCAGTGCACTCATTGCCCTTGCATATCAGGACCTCTCCAACACTTGAAACCTTCAAAACATGTCGAAAGACCCACTTTTATTCTCTGGCTTTTAAATCAAGATGACTCTGTTTCTATTGTTCATTCCATGATTCTATTTTCTCTTAATCTATATTCTATTTTATTTGGTATGTCTTCTGCTTTGACTATTTTACTGTACAGTACTTTGGTCAACAACTGTTGTTTTTAAAAGTACTATTTATATAAACAAATAAACTTGAAACTACTATCAAACTATAGCAACCCTACATGGGTCATTTACCACTAATCAAAAAGTGGCAGAGATCTGGAAGAGAACATGTGATCTAAAATATGACTTTTGGGCTTCAGTCTTCTCTGTTTAAGCACATCACCGTGTGATCTTCATATCACAGATGTGCCCAAAGCAGCAGGATATGTTGGCATGTTAGATAATCACTCACAAAAGGGGTTAGGAGTCCACAGCTGGTGCAATCTTTCTGCCAATTATTGATCCAATACCAAGTAAATGCAGGATTAATATTGCAGATAACACTATTGATACTGATTGGTATCAATCGATTGATCCGCCCACCTCTAGCAGACTGTGGTAAAGCCAGACAATATTGTAAGAGAAATGAATGTTGTCAAACAACTTAAGGATATTATATCAAGATCATATTATTCTTATAGGTTGGGATCAACCTCAGATCAATCCGCCCACCTTTATTAACTGATTTTCATTCATGTAAAAAAAAAAAGCATAAGGTTTTTGACTCAGGTTCTTGTGATAGCTCTTTTGCCCCTCAGTTACTCCGCCTTGTCGGCCTGAATGGAAGCTTTTTAGCCCAGGGGCAGATCTAGAGAAAGTTTCCTGGGGTGGCATAAAAATCAAATGGGGTCGCAAAATCAAAGCCTTTTTTTAAACATGTATGCAGGTGGTTAAAATGATTAAAATGCACTAAGTCTGCACTTGTTTCATATAAATATTCTCTATAACTTAATTATTTTCTGTAGTACAAATAACTAAACAATTCAGTTACAGAACACATTGAATTTAGATGTTATGTCCTGAACAGCCTGTATAATAAATACACATTTACCCAAAAGTATAAAATCCAGGAAGCTACACAACATGGGCTGGTTCTTTACAAACACAAGTCTAACTTAGGTTTCACACTGTTAAATTTACACAAAATGTCAGAAATCTGCACTGTCGTAAACAAAATTTTAAACCTAATTTGTCATGATTTCTTGGGTTAATATTCTGAGGTCCAAAAAACAACTGGCACATTTTTGGCTACTTTTGATTTTACATTTGTATTTCACCTTCAAATTGTTTTTGTGCGACACCCCCACTCACCCACTCACCCAAGAAAGAGCAAAATCAGAGTACCGTAATTCCCGGACTACAGAGCGCACCTGATTAAAAGCCGCATGCTCTAATTTTAGAAAGAAAATCAATTTTGTACTTGTACAGGCCGCACCGGATTTTAAGCCGTATGAGTTTCACTTGTAATATGAGATTTGTAAGGTAACATAAACATGGAAACATAAACGTTATGGTAACATACAAAAATAAATACTGCAAATGCTTTTTTTCCTCGAGCAGCGCCTGTAACACGGCTACCTTTAAGTATACGTACGCATCAGTAACACACAAATTACGCTGCTTATGGGTTTTTTACTGAACAGTGCACAAACAACATTCCAACGTCTCTTAACAACCGGTAGAAATATATACCGTATATATATTACTTATCAATTTTATTGGTCTACTGTTACCAGGCAAAATGTTTTTGGCCGCACAAAAAAAAAAATGCATTAGCCGCACGTCAGTATAAGCCGCAGTGTTCACAGTGTGGGGAAAAAAGTAGTGGCTTATGACCCGAAAACTACGGTACTTTTCAAAGCGCTATGCAGCCATTTACTTACATTGGGAGTGAGCAATGCTAAAATAACAAACCCCTAAACATCCCTAAACTTCCCTATATAAAAAAAAAAATCCAACCAAAAGACTTACCTGACCTTCTAAGTGAAAAACAGGAGAAAACCGAGCCAACAGGAATGGCTTCTCACCCCTACCAGGCTGCTGCAGTGGACAATATATACACAGTGAAAAGGGTACGAAAATGCTAATTTACAACAAAAATGCTCTAGCGCCAGACAAACACAGGTTTTACATACTAATACCAATTTATTA